TAATTAACTTGATCTTTTACTATTGTTTTAGATTGCTATGTAGAAAACATGTATGGCAAATGTATTTATTCCTTTTAAAAGAAAAAATTAGTAATTGAAATGATAAAACGAAATTTCTATTGTGTGTTAAAGATATTTAATTGTATTGTGTTACATAGATGAAACAATATGTTGTGTAATCTAGATTTAAATAAGTGATAGTAAAATGTTTTTATTTGTGGTTCGATAGCTTCGCCATAAATGCGAGAGATTGGATGGTCTATGTTTGAATTCAGGGACATCGCAAACGTTTCAATTAAGGGCACAGAAGTCTGATCAACTGCTTGCTCATAACTACAATCGTAATTTATCAAGAACAATTTAATTATTTAAACAAAACACTTTAACGGTTTAAAACGCGATATATTAGTTAAACTTATTTAAAATGATTTTTAACTTCGGCCCGACGTTTCGGATGCTTTGCAGCAGCCGTCGTCACGGGGTGTCTTCCCATGACCACGTTTTAAACCGTGCACCGTCCACAGATGATAAAGTTTAAACGTGTGTGGATTTCTGAACATCCGAAACCAGAAACAGGTCGACAGCGTCTCTTATTTAGATATTATATGTCTGGCTTATTTCAGCATCCATTAAGGAAACTTCATGCTTGTCCATTATAAAAAAAATGTGTTGTTGTTCGAACTAGTGGACTATAGATGTTATAAAGCCTCGTTCACACGAAGCCCTTGCCTTTCGCTTACTTTCGCTGGAGGCCACAGTTCACCGATTATATAGGTAGAGTTCACGTATAATATTTCATGTACGTGTTCATAGCGCGATTACGCATTGACTGACTGCAGACTACAAGTGGTATTATGTTTCTATATTTATTACTATTATTTCAAATATTTAATCATTGGCTAAATAACTTGTAAGTTTGCCTAGTATTCATACCATTAAAGGACAAATTGACGGTAAGAGTATACTTATGGACAGGATCAAGAATAGAACGGGTCAAAGGAAGGCAAGTAGTAGGATGGGGCGACAACGTATAGGCGATTTAAACTACTCAAAACCGGGAAGCATGGATAGTGATTTAATATATCACAATCATTTTAAAATAACATTGTAAATATATAATACCACCACTTTCAAAATTATTATTCATGAAATTTCGTTTTCTAGTTAAGAATAAGAAGGCTTACGTTAAACATAATACAATAACTTCTGTCGTCGGTCAAAAAAATTCGAGTTAGTATAAGTGACTCAGCGAAAATATTGTTTTAATAATCCCTGTTGAAATTTGTATTAACGTCAAATATAATAAAGATAAATGAAATCAAAACAGGCTGATAGAGTTGGAAGGTAGAAAGAAATCTTCTATTTTTTTCTATTTGATCTTGCCTAACGTATTGTTAATAGTGTTTGTTATTATATTTGTTATATGAATAAACGACAGATAAAGCGTGTGGAGATTTAACCCTCATAAACATTAATTTAAAATCTTTTTAATTCCACCGTTCAGTGAATCAGACACAAAACTGTGTCTGCCCCATTCCCGACTTATGGAAACCCGGATTTAATTTAAAACGTTAGTATTATACGATTTCAATTTTTACTTTATTAATAACTAAACATAGTGGAAAATAAATCATTTTTCCTTTAAAGATTCCTATAATATGAAATGAGACAAGCAATTTAAAAGTGAAAGGAGAAAGATTTAAACACAATTGAAGTGACAAAATGAGATGTTATTAATGATGATAACTTCGCTTTCTTTGTACACTTTTTCGCTGTATTATGTGTTAAGGGCCCTTTGAAGACGAATGACCATCATTATTATTTTTTGAATTACAGTTATCACAATATAGCTGGTATACTTGACGGACGCGTTGGTCTAATGGTAGCAATGTATGGCTAATAATTAACAGGTCGTGGGTTCGAACCCCACTGGGTCCAACATGCTTTTAACCAAATTATAATTTTTCAGAAACATGTCGGCCGTCGTGGAAATCTGAATATTAAATGGATAGTAGTAAGGATATCGAAAATTCCGTACGGATCACGAGCCACAGGTAAAAAAGCGGTGAAGTATCGCGTTTCGGTTTTAGTCTGTGGAATTTCGAATATCCAAAGCCAAATAGGTCAGCAGTGAACTCCATGTTCGTCTGTCTGTGATAAAAAAATAGTAATATATTAAATACATTTATACAATACCGTCTTCCACATCATTGTATATATCTACTTACAAAAATGAGATATTCATTTATAACACATTCTTTCATTTCATATTTTATCCGAATTAATACATATAGGTACCAAGGTTCAGTTACAAAAAATAAACAATAAATCAATAATGGTTTTTCCTGTAGCTTGGACTTTTGCTCCTCATTATTTATTAGAATGAAAATTTTTAACCCTACACTAATTCGTTACTCTAACGTATGTTTCTTTAAAACTTAACCTCTTAATATATTTATATCTAATTAGCAATTCTACTAAGAAAACGCGGACACATCGTCATCGATATAATAGTAATAATCATAAATAATCTCAACACTCATATAAACACTGTCATTTATAAAAACGGGTAATCTCAACTGTGCCGCAAAGTTCTCATCAGCATGTGTAAATCTAGACTAATATATACTCGGTTAGTAGGTCTCTATCACCTTTGTTTGTTTATGAACTAGATCATATAGATGATTTACGCACTGAGTTGGTTGTCATTTGTTTTTATTTCTTTATTTTTAACTCTTTTATCAGCCAGTAACAAGGTATTAAATAAAAAAGTAATAATATTGACGACGATTTAATCTATACTAATATTATAAACCTTAGTTTGTTTGTTTGAACGCGCTATACTTTATGGGCGTTCTACAGCGATTCAATATACTAAAAAAATATCTATGTAACAATGATTACCCTTTGAATTATATAAAGAAGTGTATTAGTATATGTCTAATCTTGTTTGATCTTGCAAGATCGACCGGACCGGAAATTTTAATGCCCAAAATAATTATACTACATGGACAAAGTCGCTGGCACTGTTAGTTTAAAAATAAATATTACGCTAAACAAAAAAATAAAAGACGTACGCCCCAGTATGTTTTGCTATAGTAAAGTATTATTGTTTGGTAGTGAGGTTACTAGTTATTTACATACCTGAATATTTGATCATTATTAAAATATTAATTTGAAATCTGTGGGTTTATCTCAGTAACTAACGGTCATTAAGTGTCACATATTCTAGATTCTATAGCGAGAGAAGCATAAATAATAAAAATATTCTTCTTTATTTAAATTTTTTATATATGTATTTTAAAACATTACACTAAACGTATTCTGGCGTTTGCTGCAGAGTGTTTCAGAGTACACAAGGATGTTAATGACTTGTGATTGTCTTGTAAAACGTAAATTTGCCATAAAATCCTCTCTCCATTTAACTAAAACTGTAATTTGTTACACACGGTAAACAAAAAGAAAGAGTTTTTGATGTAACTCAAATTCGTACACGGAATTCACGTGTTTTGTGTTTCAGATCACGTTTATGTCAAATAATTATACTATCAATAGTCAATGAAAACGTTACGTTTATCGACCTACTGCATTGCTGGGATTTCTTTTTTAAAATTCTTTTACTTAGTCCAATTCGGTGAAATGGCATTTAATGTAATGCTGTGCTATATGCATGTTAAATCCCGCTACCCCTCGTGGGGCATGAGCCGAATACGATTCTATATTCGTTTCACTGATCAATTTTATTTATTGGTAGTTGATCAGAATTCAGTGCCCTGCCCGATCGAAACATTGTTTTGTTTCCCATATTCGAACCCAGGACCTCACGCGCTTAACGCAATGATAGGCAACCTATCGACTATTTAGCAGGGCGAAGAAGTTAGATCTAAGAATAATAAAATAAATAAATAATCAATTTATTATCACAACATAATTTACAACTAAAATAAGTAATAAAAAAGTAAACTTAAAAGAATACAAAAAAGTACAATTTTATCTTTGGGCTTAAAGGCTTAATGCCTCAGCATGTACTCAGCAAGTTTGCTAACCGCTGATTTTCAGTCTGTCTCTATCAGATAACAAGTAGTACCAAAAAAATTACATACTGTGGAAAAGTTGGAATGAACTCAAAAAAAAATATATAATTATGACATATTTTAGTAACAGCGCGAATGTAAAACTATTGCTTACTTATAATCTAATGTTAACATACGCTTACCACTATCGTGTCTGTTTAAACGGTAGTATATCGATTATCAAGTGTAAATAAAGTAATTAAAAAGTTATACACTTTAAAAGCTATGCTTTATAACTGAATTGTGCTATTTATTTGATGTAATTTGCAGCATTTCTTGGAATGCGACGAAGGAATAACTATGAAAGTCTAGTACTAAGTACTAAATCAAGTGTCTCCAACTTTCATAGGATGGAAACTGGTCTCCGCATAATGTGAAATTATCTTGCTCACCGGATTTACCATTTAATTGTTTTTGTTTTATTTCTTCTGCTTTCATCCTCTACGAACTTATGACCATATTTAGCGTTTTAGACTATATGCCTACATAAATAGTAGTATTCTATATTGTTGCTGTGACGAAAACGTTAATATATAAGGCTACATAACATACAGGCATAAGTGTTTGTCTTTAAGTTAATTATCTCAATAGAAAATTTTTGAAACTAATAAAAAATACATATTTTAGTTTAACATTATAGTTTTTCTTTAATTATATTTATAAGTTTTAAAATAACATTTGCGTGAATTTAGTATCTCTTTGAAATTATATAAAATCCCTGCTTAACAAAAGGTAGAGTTGAACAAATGAATTGCATGATAAACATTACACAACAAAATTTCAAGTTCACGACCTTTCTTAGACCGCAGGCTTTCGCAGTGAACATTACAGCACTTGACATTACTTTTACTAAGAAAGTCCATATTTTGATCCGTTTTTTCATCGGGTCACATCGAGGGGTGCGGAGCGTATACTATTTAAGGTCAGATGCATTGCGCCGGCGCACAGTCTCTAAGTAATCTAGCCATGTGGAGGACGGTTGCTTTATTAACGTTCGCGGTGTGCGCCGCCCTTCCCGCCCAAGACACTGGCCACACTGACAACGATATAGAGAGCTTTAGCGACTGCCTTAAAAAAGACTCAACAACATGCCTCAAATACAAATTCTTCTCTTTCGTCGACAAAATGATTGGACAAAAGGAGACCTTTGCTCTAACGGACGGCGTGACGGTGGTTCGAGCCTCTGACGCGCCACCAGCCACGGGCGCCCCGAGAGCTCTCGATCCTGTTTCCAGACTACAGAACTACTTCCAAACGCATTCGCTACGCGTAGAGATTAAAGGATCGGATGTCATAGATACAGTATCTAGTGTGGGCAGAGCGTTAGAGGACACAGTGTCATCGTTCGACGATAATGATCTATCGGAAGAATCGCGAGGAAAGAAGAAGAAAGCGGCGAAGATTCTAGGACCTCTTATCGCTGCTGTTGTGCTGAAGATGATGGCGCTGCTACCATTAGCGATCGGTGCCATCGCTTTGATAGCCGGAAAAGCGTTGCTCATTGGAAAATTGGCGCTCGTCCTATCAGCGATTATCGGTTTGAAAAAGCTTCTGTCCCAGCAGAAGCACGTGACTTACGAGGTGGTGGCTCATCCTCATCATTCTGCGAGTCATACATCGAGCCACGATTACGGTGGTGCTACTGGATATGGAGGTGACACGGCCGGCTATAGCAGCGGTGCGAGTCACGGAAGCGGTTGGGGGCGTTCCCTCGACGCGCAAAACCTAGCGTACTCCGCGCAAAAGCCTTAGCCTACATTTGTAACCTATATTCTAGACGATTTCTCTCTTGTGTACTTGTGGCGTGTGACTGTATTTATCATCTGAATGATTATATATAGTAAGATAGATTGTGTACCTGGCTTTAATTATTATCTAAGTAGTTTATAAGATTTGCCTGAAGTCCTAACGGGTTGTATGTATCGTGATAATTATGTATATTTTAGCAATATTTTGTATTTTATGCATCCGAGGTTTGCTTCAAATTATATGTTGTAACGTTATTGATGTTATTCGTTAATAAAAATAATTCAGAGTTGGTGACTTCTTGATTTAATAAACACTTTGAGACCTTGTCGTTAGTTTTATTTAACGAACAGAGCTTTAAATAATATTTCTTCATTTCTGCATTTAATTCCATATTTAGAACGATACAATATCTTACCTTTATACCAATAGCATACTAAAAGTAAATAAAATTAACTAGTGGTTAAAAATATAATATTATTCGTAGTATGTGTTACTAATAATAAGTTAGTTAAATGACTTAGAGCTAGAATAATTATGTAAAATGTGTGTTCTTAAAAATGTATACAATACGCATTTTTATCTCCTACTTTATTCGTCTATAACTTCTAATTTTAGCTGAACAGTATTGTAACTAAAACTCTATACTTTAGTCAGATTCACTTAACTTATATTAAACTATTAAAAACTATATTTATTTGAAACGAATCTTGGAATCATTATATTTGAAATCGAGCCTCGTTTAATATGGAGGAAATAGAAGGCTCCGGTTTACCTCGTGAAGATCTAATTCTAGATGCAGAAATATATGTTCATGCACTCTAAGTAAAAGCAAGTGAAACGCGGATATAGCAGTGGGTCAGTAACAAGTTAGTAATGGGAGATATTATAATCTAATCACGGTATTCGTGTACAGAGCCGTTAAGCTACGGTTTAGATAAAATCTTCAGCCATTAAGCTCACGTGTACTTTACTCATTAGTTCGACTATCTTTCTAATTAAGTTGCGAATTATCTGCGTTTGGATGATGTTGAATGAGGTATTGTAGTAGTGTTGTTTTAATAAAACACGGTTAACGGTTTAAAATGCGAAATGTATTAGTTAAACGTCTTTAAGAATTGTTTTTACTACGGCCGGAAGCTTCGGATGCTTTGCAGCAGCTGTGGTCACTGGGGGACGCGTTTAAACTAAATACTAAAAGTATAGATAATGTGTGTAGTTTACGCGAGTGGTTAACATTTAAATAAACACTTTTAGAGGTTTCAAACGCAAAACTTACTATCTTATTTTTAATAATGATCTATAGATTTATAAATTTAAATACATTTACTCGTATATGCTGCTGTTTTAAATCACTACAAGTGTTTTATTTAAATGTGTACTAGTCGCGTAAACTGCAGACCTTTTCTATTAAAAAAATATTCTTCTTAATTTCCAAACCGATGACATGTAGTTTTAAATCCTATTATATGTCTCGATTTTAACAAAATTCATAGATTAGAGTTCAACGCCGTTTTATACTGGAACGCCGGCATATTTAGCGTACAATAATAAATATATTTTTAAATGTATAATAGTTACATTTAATATTATTTGCATAAAAATCGAGCCTAGTAGGTGCAAGATCGTATCTTCATATCTTGCCAACTATTTACGGTTGTTGCCTATTTTAATAATGCTTACTCGTTGAAGAGATGTGAGATATTATTTATGGTTTGCACGTATTTATATTTATTTAGATAGATCATTTTATATATCTAACCCCAAAAATATGTTTTTCTGTTTTTCATTCATAAAAGACTTCAACGCGCTCTCGCGATTAAATAACGCTACCATAACTTATCCTGCTGTGTGTTGCATAACTAAGATATTTAGTTAATATAATCTGTAATTATGTATATACTAGATTGTTTAGTACAACCAGTGATTTTTTTTTAAATAAAACGCTGCGTTACTTTAAAAAGTCTTTTTGATTTTTAATGCCTATTTTTAAACGACTATTGAATTGTTTGTTGAACAGTGCCATCTAGTGATTTTATACTGAACAGATATTTACCTCGAACTTGGTTAATTCTATAATCATGTATAATAAACAATCATTAATGAGATATAAAGTCAAATATAACACTTCAGAATATATATGCTAAGAACGTAAAAGCAAACGACACATTTTCACATAATCATAATAAAATACGTGACTCATTTTGCAAACCGTTACACGGTAGTTCATTGCCTCATGATTATGCGGAAAACTTGTAAACCTTGATCGTAAACTCATGCCACTTGCTTCATGTAAACAAACTTGGCCGTGAAAATAGTTCACAGAAGCGAAACTAGATGGCGCTTTAATGCTAAACAAGAAGGTCGTATATATTTAGTTAACTTCTGTACATTTGAAAACATTAATATTTTTTACGCGTTATTGCACATGAAGGCACTATATAATTTTAAAAATCTAATATCGTAATCATATTTTTAATTTATTTTAAATTCAGCACGACGCTTTGCATACTTTGTAGCAGCCGTGGTCACAAGGGCATACTTAAACCAAAGAAGTCGTTGAGAAATTTTTGAAATAACTTGAAAATTTCTATGTTTAACATGCTTAAATAGTTGATTGTATGAAACTATTATAATAAGTCAGCGAAAGTCATTTTTTTACTAATATAGTTTTACCCAGCTTAACCAAAAAAGTGGAAACTTGTTTCTCCTGTTAAGGTCCTTGAAACGTTGCAGTGACCATTTCTCTCAAGTTATTCAAACTGTGCTGTAACTGACTGAAACTATGTTTGAATTGGGATTTGGACAAATAATAGATCCTATCAAACGCAAGGCCAGGTATTGCCTATTGCCCTCATGAGGCAGCTACATTTGTTTTTTTACAAGTTATCAATGTCGGTATTATAGTGACCACAATAGACAGAGTATCTTGCGCACGCGCATCTGCATTCAAACCTAATTTCCCTGTGGCCAGAAATGTTATTGAAAGTTGTGCTCTTAATCTATACTAATATATAAAGCTGAAGAGATTGTTTGTTTGTTCGAAAACGGTTCGATACCGAAGAAATATGTATAAAAAAATTATATATGAATCTTATAGATGAAGCGGAGTTTTGCAAAAACAATGATGTTTGATGCTCAAACTGACTCTTCTAAGCGGATGAAGTCGCTGGCACAGCTAGTAAAATATAACTTCAAACTTATATTAAGGATTTGATATAGAAAAAGCGTATAATAATTAATACTTATCGCATTGATAGATGTAATTTCACCTCTTTGATGTTGTAAAGTTGTAATAATGAGATTAACGACGTTAGTGGACTATCAGCTATATTTACAATGATATAATCTAACCAAAGTATTTAAGACTTTCTATTTTGAAACTGTTTCGCCCTATGGGAAGTAGTGCAAGTATGCATTGAAACAATGGTTCAAACGCAGTGAACCTCTAACTTGGTATGTGAATCTTCACTTGAGTAAATCGCTTAAGTACCGGTTAACTTCACATTAAAGTAGAAAACGGAATTTTTCCACGACACTTTTTTACAATTTCCACGCGTAGGGAGCGGCTTTCTTGTTTCCCTTTAACGGTTGTGAAAATTAAAAATCCGTAAACGGAGCCTGGAAATTTTCTATTACTAAATTAGGCACTTAAATTTCACTACGTCTGAAGAAAGGCTTTTATATATATTTGTATTCAGACTGGTTAATTTTTCAATATTATTAATGGAATAATCAAAAACTTTATGAGAAACGATAAATGTTTAATAAACTATTTCAAACATGTAATATTACTGTAACTTTATTTTACATTTTGAAGTTTAAAATATTAATAGTTACATCAGCTATCGTAATTTAAGTAAAAAATTGCTATAGTTTACTTTGACCTCAGAGACATCCTAAATCTTCTCCCCGTGACCACGGCTGCTGCAAAACATCCGAAACGTCGGGCCGAAGTCAAAAATCATTTTCAAATAAGTTTAACTAATATATCGCGTTTTAAACCGTTTAAGTGTTTTTAACACTGTTGTGTGTTTAAACTACACAACTTTATGGTGTGTAGTTTAAACACACAACATAAAGCTAAATGTTTTAAGTTAAGTGGAAATTAAACAAAAAATATGTTATATTTTTCTTTATTTAACAAAAACAATCTTTGAATCTAGCATTAATAAATAATATGACTGAAAATGCAATGACAATGATATTAATGGTGGGCGAAACGTTTACATAAGGGCATCACCATACTGTGCTATAAAATATACGAAGATATAAAACATAATAAACACATACGAGAACAAGTTCATACAAAACATAATGAGTATATATTCTTAATAGAATGAAATATACATACTAGCATATATAGTGATGAATAGCGTATTTACAAAAGCTCAAAAAAGCACAGTGACTAGGTAAGGAAAAGGTTTACAATCTATTTGTACTATAAGATGGACAGGTACACAGATAAGTACTGGTGACGCATAGCCTATTCATTAATAATAATTTAAATAAATTAAATAATTTAAATAAGTTAATGAATGATAAGGTCTGAGGTGTCAGTTGGAATAGGCGTTATAGGCCATCTCTTGGGCGTCCTGGGATCTTCCCCAGCCTCCATGCGGGCTGGCGTGGGAGAAATGTTCATCGTGGTGTGGGTGAGCTACCACCTGGAAATGACGAATTCAATGTAAATCATGACAAGATGTGTATGGATAAATTTAGCTAAATGTATGTTAAACAATCTATCTATTATTAAAAAATTATCGAAGCCTTGTTTCACGGAAGCTTGTGAGCAAAAAAATTATAGTGTTTTTACAACGAGATTGCAGGTTACGTATACTATCTAGATCAGTAATTTTCGTATCCTCTATTTAAACGAATAGTGTATAATTTCTTTACACGTTTATATTAAATACTGTCTGTAGTTTATGCGGGTAGTACACATTTACTTAGCGGTTTAAAACGCGAAATGTATTGTTAAACTTATTTGAAAGTATTTTATCTTCGGGAAGACTTAATCACCGCGGTTGCTGCAAAGCATCCGTTAGGCCGTAGTTAAAATCATTTTCAATTATTTTCAACTAATATATTTCGCGTTTTAAACCATTAAAATATTATATTTATTACCTCATAACTTTCGTGATGCTCATGTTTCGACAGAAGTTTCTTCAACAGCAGCAGCGCGGAAGCAAGAAGAGCAGCCTTGGCTAGCATCAAACCCTTGACAGCAGCGAAGGCAATGATACCAAGGAACAGTGGAATGAGGGACTGGATCTTCAGTTGGAGCAGAGCGAAGATTGGGAGGAGCTGCTTCAACTTCTTCTTCTTGCCACGACCTGTGCAAAAAAAGAGAAATGAAATAGAAGTTAATAATAGACCAGGAAGAATAAGATATTTTTTTACTTATAAGAAACTTTTTTTTATAGAATATACTAATAAATTAATTTATTTTTAACATTACTTTAAACACGTATGCAACTGTCAAAATATAATTGAAAACAATAAATAAAAATATTAACATAGCATAAATGTGAACACTAATCATTAGCCTATATGTTGTTGTATGTTCGTTTCTTGTTATTTAAGTTTTTGTTAGTAATCGTTTTGAAATGCAAACTATTCAACTCTAGTCCTTTACTGGAACTAAAGCATAATACAGTCTTGAAAATTGAAAGTCCCATACATAATCATTCGAATCACGTGAAAACAATAGTAGATTCTACTTTCAAACATCGTAGTTCTAATCTAAATACCGATCGGCAACGGCTGAATTGAATCGCAAGTGGTTGAACAATGAAAATCATTGAAATTCAAGATGTCCGGCCGTTTGCATAATTGCTTAGAAAGCTCATTTGTTATTCGATACATCGCGAAAGCTTTGGCTTGCATTATTTCATATCATTATCGCGCGGTTTAATATGCAACTTGATAACAAAGGTAATACAAACTTAGACTGAGATATTAAAAAAATAATAGAAGCCGTATCGGAAATAAAAAAGGGAATAACGAATATTTGTATTAAGCGACTAACTAACGGAAATAAGTACTCAATTCATTAAGTATGCACTTACTTTGTTTTAAATTTTGAAGTATTTAAATTTCGAACGTCGAATCTTATTATGGTTTCTCGCAATTAGAGAGTCAACTATCAGTATAATTAGGCACCCTATACAAGTCTGGACCCAACAGATAAATGTTGCCACATATAGGATCATGAGTGCAAAAACTGGAAGCAGCTTTCATCTATAATAGCCATGTTAGATACCCCGACAAGACCTGTCCCAGAACTTTCGAACGAGTCGGAAACAGTAAGGATGCAATTTCTAAAACCTACCTACATTCTTTTTAATTAGAACTTTCTATTTTCATACCGGAATTTTGGTGAGAGCGAAATTTAATATAATGTTTATGTAACATTTTCGCCTGTTTATTGCGTCATTAGCAATTTAAGCGTCTGAGAATTTGACCTTATTTTTTACGGCGTTTTGGGCGGATTCGCCCATGGGGCACTTTCGTTGGTTAAATTGCCTACCAACGACGCCATTAAACTATTTAAAAAAGCGTGATATGGGCTAAGAATCTAATGTCTTATAATGTTCGGTGCTTTATATATCAATAATATCATATATTAATAAAATACTTTTATTTTAGTATGGGTTCATCCTTACAAAGTACTCAGTAAGCAATAACCATAGCAATTTCCCTAACACAACTTGGAATTATTTGATTCGCTTGCTTTCACACTCTCTGGTCAATTAAAATTGAGTGTAAATCTTCGCGAATAATTAATTTCAACGCTTATAAGATTTACGCTGCGTTGAGTAAGGTAGTTTTATAATTAATGTGAAATAAGGAATTCTTTTTTCGAATTTTGTTTGAATTTCTGCATTTGTTCTACGTTGATCAATAATGATTGTTAGTATTAATGTACTAACGGATCTTCTAAATATCTTCGAACAAAAAAATTCTGAAGTTAAAAACGTTACTGACCTTCCTCAAGCGATCTCTTGACGTCATCAACGGTGCCTTTTGGTACTCGTAACTGAAGAACGGAATTCTCCAAGAATTCCGCCGCGGCATCGAGGAGTCTGCTTTCCACTTGGTCTTCTCTAGCCCTGGGTTCCTCTGGTAAAGGCTCGAAGGACCTGGCACCTCTTGAAGATCCGGCACCAATAAGGGTGACACCATCAATAAGGCTGATTTCACGAGCTGAGGCGAGGTTTTCGGCGTATTTCAGTGCTTTTTCCTGTGAAATAATAAATATTATAATTAAGTTAAAGATCTTTAAAGTTTAATAGTTAAACTATATTTTTGGAGCTTACAAAAATAATTACTCGTATAGTGTCAAATGTACTGTAAATGTAATTTAATATAGCGTTACCCTGGTGATTAGTATAATTAGTGTAATTGATAATATTTAATTAAACTGTTAGAAATGAAACAAATTTAAAACACGATATTTAAAAATCAAAAATTCAAAGTTTGAGTTTAGAACACAGTCATTTTTTTTCTGCTGTCCTACGTGACACATTTTTAAAAAGCGAACACATTTTTTTTTTGATCACATCACTAGCACACACCTTAAGGCACAAGGAAACATCTTTATCTCCACAACTTTTGACGACACCAACAACTGATCCCATGACGTCATCTTCGGTCGTAGGCTTCGCGGCTACCACCGTCACACAAACTAATATTAGTAAGAACTTCATGGTGGTATGACGATGGTAAGTATAATGCACAGGAGTGTGGTAAGGCTGTTTTATTTAACGCCCCCCACTGACTAGGTGGTAACAAAATTGCTAGTCGCGTACGGTCATAGAGTTATGAATGTGTAGACATAATTCGAAACTTATTTTATAATTAGAACAAATAGTAATATGTTTTAAAAAATATATTTTTTTTCAACATACTTTAGTTAAGCTTTCCTTATAACATACTTTTTCACAAAAACGTCGAACATTTACTTATCCCTAACAACTCTTATTTCTCCGTCACTCGAACTTTTCGATCTTAATTCGATAGAAGACAAAGCGTTTTATAATTGCGCTCCAACGAGGTAAGTATCGACTTTTAAAAGTTTGTAATATTTTAAAGTACGTAACATCTATGTGATCTATCAAGTCGTGTCTATTCCATTCTTAGCTCTACATCGGTACTATCAAGTTCATGTATTCACTACACAACCGAACGCCGTGAATCCGTGAATCATGTATTAAAAGTGTAAAATTAACATTTATTGGATGATTTCTAATGTTATATAAGTCGCGTGTACAAAATTAATATCATAACTTTTCGAATGCAATTGATACATCGCGTGAATCATGGTGCTTTGAGTGAATTGCTTCCTTTTTGATATGAAACTAATTATAGATAAATAAAATATTCATAGATAAATATAGAAATTAAAAGAAACATTTTATTGGACATTAAATATTGTTTTCGAACCGTGAGTGTGTAAAAAAAGCGTTTTAATATAGCTATGATTGCACATAACCTCACAAGTAAACATCAATTTTATATTTTTTAGTAATTAGTTTTAAAAAAATAGTAGATTAGATTATTATTGTTGAGAATTTAATATTATATCAATATACGATAGTCGTACAAAATATAACAAATAGACAGAAATATTATAAAAGTAAACAAATAAAAAGTGAAGTAAACCTATCTATACTAAACCTGTCTATAGTTTACGCGAGTAGTACACATTTAAATAAAACACTTTAACCGTTTAAAACGCGATATTTTAGTTAGAACTGATATATCGCGTTTTAAACCGTTAAAGTGTTTTATTTCAAAGTGAAGTATATCAAATGGTACAAAAATATAATGCCATTAAACTTTTTTGCCAACTTAAACCTCTACAATAAATTTTAATTTAAACTTCGAAATTTAATTTTATTAATAATATTAATAGCGGAAAACTTGGTATAAACATTTTAAACAGTGAGTAAGCTTCAACTTTCTTATAATTAACCTCACTTGGATTATGTTCGTGGCTATAGTTTTACATTTTTGGAACCTGCAAACAACTCCATATATTACATAACATAACACGTTTTTTGGTCTAGACAGCATGACGACGCCTGTATTTGGTAAAAGTGATAAATGAATTGTCAAATTTGAACATAAGTGAATGGATAAACACTTGAATGAAGTCCACTCAGTCTTTTCCTTATATCAATGTGTATATATTCACAACGTAATGGTGATAAATTGTTAATAGTAACGGTAAGACATAATTCAAAGTACAACTTTTTTTTACTTTATTTGCAATTAAAATGTAAGATTCATTTTAATATAACCAAACCGGAAGTCTCTCAAAAGTTATTAAGAACTTCAGTTAATGTTTACATGCTCAAAGTGACGTCCCGTTTCCCCTGTGGGGCATGGGGCGAATACATTTTTTCCGTGTCAATTTCACTGACTAGGCAAGTTGTTGAATAGACTTTTGTGTCTAAAAACACTTTTAAAAGTTTTAAACCGTAATTGACAATATATTCAAATTATGTAAAAAAAATACTACGGCCCGACGTTTTGGTTCCTTTTGCAGCATTGGCAGGCAGGGGGTTCTTCCCTTAAAATTAAATGCAAACAAGTTCAAGTAATAGATTTCGTGATTAAAACCGTTAAAATTTATTTATTTATTTATGAATATATATATATGATAAAATGGTTTATTTAAATGTGTACTAGTCGCGTAAACTACAGACAGGCCTTGTGATTCGAACTCAGGACTTTTCGTGTTTAACCATTTGGCTACAGTGGCGGTCAACTACTGAACATGACATGGTACTTATTTACTAATCTTTTCATGATTGTGTAGATAAGAAATGAAGAGCTTTAATTACTTGCAGAATAGAGATCGAGCTAAATAAATTAATCGCGAACAGCTATCGCTCGTTCATTCATTAATTCGCTCGTTCAAATTAACGTAGGAATAACTCGTTCTCAGTAAGAGTATTACCGGAAAGTAGTGTCTTGTACCAAATAGTCGGCCTAGTTTTCCCTTGCAGGACGTAGGAGGCATACATATCATGGCTATATCGGCCCCAGAGTCGTCGTGACCACAAACTCTATTGCCTTTTAATGCAAAATCGCTACGAAAGTGAAGATTAAAGGCAGGTTGTACATGTTAGAGTTCGGTTTTCTAAAATTAATATCGTGAGGCATACTGGCAGGTTTCTAATTAAAGAGAACAGTTTTAACGGTTTGAAACGTGATATTTATTATTATTATTTCTTCTACTATTTTTAACTATGATCGCAATCAGCTGAGAATACTTCTGATAAAAATATTTAATGTGTATTTTTAAATACCGTGACCGGGCTGCTGCAAAGCATCCGAAACGTCGAGACGCACTTAAAGTAAAAGTTTCAATTAAGTTTAACTAATATATATCGCGATTTAAACCGTTAAAGTGTTTTATTTAAATGTGTACTACTCGTGTACTACAATGTGTACTACACACTCTAATTAAATGTGTATTTTTATTTATTTTACGGATAAAATGGAACTAGGTCTCAAATCTCTGACTTTTTTTTAATTTCTTACCAAAAATAACGAAGTCAAATAATTTTATTTTAATTGTATTTATGAACATTGATTGTTTGAAGACTTTAATATTTTTTACATGTACACATAAAGTGGATAGGTAAGAATATATGTAATTTTAAAATCGAGTACCGTGAGCAACAGCAAGGAACGCAGTGGATCCCGCTTCAAATCCTGCCGATGTCGGAATTTTTATCAATCTTCAATTGATTTTTAATGTAGTTTTATATATATTAACTGAATATCGCACAACATATTATATTATTTATAAAACATTTAAATTTTGAGGTTGATTCAACAGTGATATCTGAAATGTTTCCTTTATCAAGAACAAATCAATAATATATAAATATAGACAATCCAATTCCTTAAATTTTCATAATAACTAATTCCTCGTCCTTTTGAGATGCACTCATCAAAACAACGCATCAGAAATATGGAAAGTGTAAACGGTCCTTTAACAACCGCAAAGATACCACAAGGTATGATAACCACATCAAAGTTAACAAATCAATGTAATACGTCCATAACGATAACATGATACATGAAAATGAAATTATGTTGACTTCGCTAAGCCTTAACAAATTTTAACGCATAGTAACTTATTTTTTCTATATAAAACGAAGATCGAATCAAACGAATATATAGTGGTACGATGTTATTAACTATATTATAATGTGTAGTTTCTTGTTCAAGTTCAAGTCACTTGTTGGCGTTGGGGTATGGGACAAAAAGTGTTTTATCACCAATATATTTTGTTTAGATGTAGTACTTAAAATTTATATGCCTCGCCCCGTCGTAAGATTATCATTATATAATACTATAAAATACTTTGTTTATTATATTGGATAAAATTTGATTCCATAATAAAGGGTACTTGTAAGATATTTTTTTTTAATTATTTAAAAGGAATAATTTTTTTAATTCAGATTCTTTGGGGTTCATTTATCGCTTTCGCAGCGGACAAAACCACAAATATCATCATCATTTTTCTGTTTTTTTCACACTTCTCACTATTTCTTTGCTCATATTGTTCTTATAAAGCCTTCGTCGATAAATAGTATATCAAACAAAAAAAAAACAATTTAAACCAGTAATTTGTGAGACGCATTGAAAAAAACAAACTCTTCGGCTGTATTATATTATTATAGGTAGATAATTATTTCTTTATGAGTTAGGTCTACAGTATTAATTTACATAAAGTAGCTTTAAATAATGACCGAGGGCCTAAGTGTATAAAATGACAGTAACATTTATTGGTTTGTTTTTATCCATACTTAACCCAAGGTCATATAAGACCAAAAAGATTACGTGATACAATATTGGAGTATCTTGGCTGTACTTTATCCTTACGCGTTGGCGACAATCCAAAAAGACCTGTACATACATTGTTTATAGAAAGTTACATCAGAACGAATGACCGGAATGAATGCATTATCGATTATCTTATAAGGATTATACAATCGTTGACATAACTAAATTAATTCAGCACTTAATTACGTGAATGGTTCCGCTTGAACTTGGTTGAATGTTCTATTTTAGAATACTATTTTTATAACAACAGAATTTACCTACTATAGATTTCATTTCTACAATTTTTATTTAGTAGTTTAGTATAGTCTTAAGTTAAATCCGCCCTTGCTTAACTTAATACAAACAAGATGGCCGTTTTAAACTATTAACGTTATCTATCGCTAGACAAAATATTTATTATATTTTAAATTGAGAGATAAATAGGTGAAATTATGTAAAAAAAATTTGGGTCCTCTTACAAAATCGATTGCTTTTTTCGCCAAAAATAAAACAATTTTTTTCTTTCAAAATAAGAAGTTATTTTGCATTTTTATCAAAAAGTGAAAATGGGAGTATAAAATTTTGAATAAAAAACTTATTTTTTTGGTACAGATTTATACTAACTTAATTTTGTAAATACTTGTATGTATACTATTTTTGTAATCAAAACACACAATATAAGTTTTATACAATAGTTGTTATCGTTAAGTGGGTAAGTAAAACTTGAGAAAATTTTCTCTACAAAAAAGGAAATAGAAATTACCAACAAAGCCATTTAAAACAAACACAAGAAAACGGCTTGAAAAAAAATACAGACCTCAACTTAAGTCTAACAAAAGACATTAGAGTTAATACTATAATT